AAAGAAGAGGTGTTAAAAATCTTATCTCTCAGCACAAAGTTGATTTTCTGTTCCTCCAAGAAACCAAGGTAGCAACTATCACAAATCAACTCATCCACTCTATTTGGCCCCACAATGACCCGGGTTTTGCAGCAGTGGAGGCCGAGGGAACTTCGGGCGGTATTATTAGCGTCTGGGATAAATCAGTATTTTCAGTTTGTGAATGCATTCAGAGACCGAACTTCATCCTTCTTAAAGGTACGATCTCTCCGGACTTTGATTGTATTTTGATTAATATTTATGCTCCTAATGAAGCCAGGGCAAGGAAAATTCTATGGGATGAATTATTAAGTCTCCGAGTTAGTTATGATTTACCATGGTGTATTGGGGGTGACTTTAATGAAATTATTAGAATTGGGGAAAGAAAAGGCTGTCTTACAATCTCTGCTAGTATGAAACAACTCAGTGACCTAGTGGCCAATCTGGAGCTTAGAGACCTTCCCCTGCAAGGCAGATCTTTCACTTGGTCTAATAATCAAGAGGCTGAGACAGATTCGATTTTAAACAATGGGGTCTTCAACGTTTATTATCCGATCATTGTCCAATTCTCCTCATGGTGGATAATAGAGACTGGGGTCCAAAGCCGTTCAGGTTCCTCAATGCCTGGACCTCCCATCCTAAATTCCTAAATGTTGTCAAAGGTGCATGGAATCAGAGTGTGCACCTTGGCTGGGCTGGGCACAGAATTTTTATGAAGCTCAAGGAAGTGAAATCAGCTCTCAAACAGTGGAATATGGAGGAGTTTGGTGATCAAAATGAAAAACTCATTTCCATTGGTAATCAATTACACTCGCTAGATCTCCTTCAAGAGACCCGTTCTCTATCTGAGGAGGAGTCAACAGACAAGAGGAAGCTGAAATTCGAATTCTGGAAAACTTCAAGGCTGATTGAGAGCATTTGGCTGCAAAAATCTAGGCAAGTGTGGTTCAAGAATGGAGATAAAAATACCAAATATTTCCATATGATTGCAAGCACAAGGCAGAGGAAAAATTCAATTGGCAATCTAGTCATCAATGGAATTCACTTAGAAGATCCGGAGCAAATAAAAAGAGCAGTTAGTTCTCATTTTCAGGAATTTTTCTTCGAAAAGTGGCCCTCAAGACCCACATTTTCAGAACCTTTTCAGCGCTCCCTTTCTGATTTGGATGCCTCTCTGTTAGAACAACCTTTTTCTGAGACTGAGATCCTGGATGCTATAAATCATTGCGAAGGTAATAAGGCTCCTGGTCCTGATGGCTTCAATATGAAATTTATCAAAAAATGCTGGGCCTTCATAAAAGCAGATCTTTGTCTCTTCTTCAATGAATTCCATCTTAACAGCAGGATTAAGAAAGGCCTGAATTCCACCTTCTTAACCTTGATTCCAAAAATTCCAAACCCATCTTCTTTATCTGACTACAGGCCCATCAGTTTGCTAGGCTGTATCTATAAGGTTCTAGCCAAGGTCTTATCAAGTAGATTGAAATCGGTTTTGCCAAATTTGATCGATGAAACTCAATCAGCTTTTGTAAAAGGGAGGCAAATCTTGGATGGTATTCTCATCGCCAATGAAGTTGTTGATTTGTGGAAGCGCAACTCTTCAGGTGGGCTTCTTCTCAAATTGGATTTTCAGAAGGCTTTTGATAGTGTCAATTGGAACTTTCTTTTTCATATTCTTCAAAATTTCGGTTTTGGTGCAAAGTGGATCTCTTGGATTAAGGAATGTGTTTCTTCCCCTCATATTTCTGTTTTGGTGAATGGCTCCCCCTCTCAAGAATTTCCCCCTCAGAGAGGCTTAAGGCAAGGTGACCCTCTCTCCCCATTTCTCTTTAATCTTGTGGTTGAAGGGCTAAATATTCTCATCCAAAGAGCCAAAAATCTCAATCTTATCAAGGGAGTGGATATCGGTAGCTCGGGATTGAACCTTTCACATCTGCAATTTGCAGATGACACTCTTATGTTCTGCAATCCAGATTGGGATGAGATTATTAATCTGAAAACAATTCTCAGTTGCTTCGAATTAATCTCCGAACTGAAGATCAATTACCAAAAGTCTGTAATTTGTGGAGTTGGGGTTAACAGGGACTTCACCTCTCAAGTAGCCGAATTCTTCAACTGCAGGGTGAGCTCGTTACCAATCAATTATCTTGGAATGCCTTTAGGGGCCAACCCAAAAAGACTGTCTACTTGGGAGCCTATCATTAACAAAGTGAAGAAGACTAGCCTTGTGGAAGAAAATGTATCTTTCTCTTGGAGGGCGAATCACTTTGATTAAATCTGTTCTCTCTTCACTTCCAATCTATTATATGTCCCTTTTCAAAATCCCTACCCAAGTGGCAAACTTAATTGATAAATATCAGAGATCCTTTTTATGGGGGGATAGTGATGCCAAAAGGAAATTACATCTTCTCAACTGGGAGGCATGCTCTGTTAGCAAATTCTTTGGAGGTTTGGGCTTCAGAAAGACTAAGGAAGGCAATGATACTCTCCTATGCAAATGGTGGTGGAGATTCGCCATCGAAAAAAGTTCCTTGTGGAGGAAAGTTCTCTGTGCCAAAAACAATGTGAATGAAGATTGTTGGTTACCAAATGGCTCAAGCTTCAGACTTTCATCTGCAGTATGGAAAAGTATCTCATCTTTGGAAAGGTATGGATCTAGAGCAATTGCATTATTTTTGGAAAACATTCAGTTCAAGCTAGGGGATGCTAAAAGAATTAAATTTTGGTTGGATGCTTGGGTCTCGTGTACTCCTTTGTCCAACCTTTATCCTAGACTTTTCTCTCTAGCTACAAACAAAGATTCTTTCGTCCACCAGTATTTGTATCAGGCTGCGGGTAATCAAACTCATTGGAATATCACATATAGGAGAACCCTGAGAGCTTGGGAAGATGAGTTGCATCTTGAGCTGATTAGTAAATTGCCTCAACCTCTCAGCATTAATAACAATTGTGTGGATCACCTGTTATGGACTCCTTTCCCATCAGGCTCCTTTACAGTTAAATCTCTTTATGGAATTTTTGAAAATTCTCTTCGTTTAACCCCTTTCCCGATTATGAAAATGTGGAAATCAGCAGCCCCTCCCAAAATTAAAGCTTTTGGTTGGCTTGTTTGGTGGAATCGAATCGCCTCTTCGGATCTCCTTGCTCGCAGGCTCATTATCCCCGCTATCAATCACTGCGCTTTCTGCGGTATTGATAACGAATCTGCTCCGCATTTGCTCCTGCATTGTAAGTTCGCTTGGAAGGTTTGGGCTGAAATTATTTGTTGGTGGGGCTCCCAATGGGTTTCCCCTAGTTCCTTACAAGACTTACTTTTATGGTGGTATGGTCAAAAATACAAACTCCTGGGTAATCTCATCTGGGAAGTAATTCCATTGGCTGTGGTTTGGAGTTTATGGATTGCAAGAAACAACATGGTTTTTAACTCTATAGTTCCTGTTTGGGGGAATATTGTGGATAGTATCAAGATCAAAGTGGCCACATGGGTGAAGTTTTCTAGTCATTTGCCTAACTACACAATCCATGATTTCATGTACTGCTTGGCTGGATTGAAGGGCCACAAATTGTAGTTTCCTGCAGGATATAGTCCTCTGTTCTTTTAATTTTCATTCCCAGTTTTGGTTGAGGTCTCATCAACCTTTGTATCGGCCTTGGCTTGCATATGATTGGGCTCAATTATAGGTGCCAACCTAGTTGGGATGTATTTTTGAGCTATGATGCAATTCAGTCAAGTCCCTCTTTTTCTATCTTTTATCAATAAAATTTTCTTTGCTGATCAAAAAAAAAAAGCTTTTAAAAATCAAGGCCTGGGCCCTGCACCCATTCCACCAAATGCAAGAATGAAAAAAAAAAAAAAAGACAATTCAAATCTTAAATTTTATCAAGACATTTATATGCATGTCCCACTTATAAATTTTATGATCTGATCATTGGATTCCTTTTTCACCATTTCACCCAAGTTAATCAATTTACCTGAGTGTTGCAAACCACTTAAACTCACATGTAGTTGGATTAAATTGATAAAGTTAAAAGATTGATAATTCACATACACATTAGAATATTTTTTCAATTTAGTGATTTTTGAAAGTGTCACAAAATTATTAGTTTAATGACATTTTGTAGTTTAGTGGCATTTTGAACAAATGTCATTTATACCCGTACCACGGTAGATACTTGCAAGTGCCACTACACCATCATGGCTAAAAACTTTCAATGACATTTTGATGTCATGGTAGATATTATTTGTGGCATTATCAAGCTCCATTAAAAAAAGAGTTAGTGACACTTCAGTGGCACTTATAAGTACCATTACGCTATCAGGGTTAAAAACTTTCAGTAACACTTTAATGTCAAGTGTCATTAAAGATGACTTGCAATCTAAAAAATGCCACCATATGGATTTTTAATGACGCTTATTATGTCACAATTGATATTTATAACACCTTCATAAATGCCACTAAATCCAATTCATTTGTGCCATTAAATAGATATAAGTGCCATTGAAACTTATTTTAGTGACACTTTGCAAAGTTACTATCACTATTGCAAAATGACACTTATATGTTCTTTTCATTGACACTTTTAAAAGCTACAATTATGCATGCGTAAATGCCTAGAAAAATTGAATCAATTTTATAAACAATTGAATATTAATTGTCACATCATATATTAATTTGACATCCATTCATCCTATAATATTTTCATAATAATAAATAAATATTACTACCATAAGATCATCACAGCAAAAACAAAAAAAAATTCAAACCACAATCAGTTATTTATTATTGAAATATAAATTTATTTATATTGCAATAAAAATTCCTTGCCTGAAATTATAAAATATTCTACCACACTAACAAAGTTAAAGCAAAAACAATTTAAAAGAAAATTATTCCAACCATAAGTTCTGAAAAGCTATAGTGATATCCATATTCCGAAGAGAAAAATTATCAAAAATAAAATCAGTTTCCAAATTCTCAACCTCACTTGTATAAATATTCTCGGCTAGCACCCATAACTTGCAAAATCTGCATCTAAAAGATAAATATATAAAAGTAATTGAAACTATATTAAATTAATGTAAATTTGTTAATGAAATTAGTATTTATGAAAGAAATTTACCATAAATGAAGCAGGCCAAGCAACATGAGCTCCAATAGCTTGTCCAACTATTTTGACAAGTCCATATGATCGGATCAAGCTCTCATTAGGTTTGACTGGCACTTGAACATGTATCTCCAAATAGCCAGGTCCCATTTCTTCCCCTTCTATTTCTTTAGATGCATTTGTGCTTTTAAGTACTCCGATTGCAACTGTTTTTGTTGGCCTAATGATACTTTTTAGAACAACTACATCTCCTACTTGTAAATCAAGATTTAACTACTTAAGTAATTGTATATTTAAAATTAGTAAATAATAGTTAAAAAAACTAGTACAAAATATTAGAGTGAAGATGATCATAACTGAAAGTGATATGCATTTCTCTAGTAGATGAGCAAGCCAAATGCGTTTTTAATTGGTTCACTACACTATAAAAAATTATAGAAAAGTAACAACCGTAAGTCTTTAGACCATATCAAACAATAGCTTAAAAAATTAATAATAACCAAAAGCACCAATCAACAACAATCAAAACCATGCCCATTATCAATATCAGGATCCCCTAACCTCAACGATGTAAATCAAATATAATTGTGAAAAATGACAATCAACTAATTACTTTCAAGCAATATTTTGAGAGAATCATAAAGAGCCCATGTGGTAATAAATGATGGAGAGATGTCTTGTTAAAAAAACACAAATTTCGTCATGTAAAAAATTTCGTCATGTCATGATTTTGACTATGTAGCACATTTTGTTTAGATTTAAACAACGGAATTAATGTCCGTAATATTCATTCCTTGGTTAATTGTAAGATAAGTGTTGCATGCTATTCTAAAATAAAGCTGGAAGTAATGTGATATTTATGATTAGCTCTTAGTAGGTACTTGAGTAAGAGAGATATCTTGTATCGATGACAAAGACCATGCTTGATGTCGAGCTGCCATATCAAGAGGACTAGAAGTTGTTGTGGCCTAACCAAATTTGAACTAATTAATTTTACAAACACACACACATAGATATACGTATGTATATATAAGTGTAGGAAAACATTAACAACTTATAAATTCTATTAAAAAAATTACCTGATTAGATGTGTTTGTCAAGTTATTCGGAGCCTGATGAACATGGGAAACTTTGGACCTTAACTCCGAATTTTTAGCTTCCATAGCATCTATTGTTGTGTCTTGGTTTGCTTTATGACTAGATGTATCTCTCCATAAATTAGAGGGGGAGACACCTAATCCATACATGCGAACTCGTCCATGTTTTTCTTTACCCATCATTTGTCCAAATGTATCATTTGGGCACTCATTTGATAAATTTGCATTTGAGGTTGTCCTCTCATTCATTTCATCTTATAAGGTTGCAATAAACATAACTTAATATATACATTTCAATCACTCAACACTATAATGTGGGAATTTTAACTAATCTACAAGTTCAAATGGACATATAATAATTTGGTACATACTATCATTGTTTTCGTTGTCTCAGGAGTTCCAGTCTCATTTGTATAACATACTTTAAACATGTGAGCACGTGTTGCAGAGTGTCCCAACTTATTCTTTTACAAAATAATATATTCCAAAATATAAATTATATCATTCTGTCATATCATGCATACATTATCATATTAAATATACAACATGAAAAGATGAATTAACCTGCTTCTTTCGAACACATAGAAAACTTTTTGTTCCAATAGTATGATTATACTTTCGCTCTACACGACTTGCTTTGTTTTTATCACTTTGTGCCTAAAATTACAAATGCATAAATTAATGGTGCCCAAACTATAGCAAGTAAAATAACATATAATGATCATATCAAGTATACATTTACTTCTTCAATGGCCCAATACTTAAAAAGGTGTTCACACTGATCAACATATACTCTATTATCTTTATAATCTTTTTGTTGGTCAAAACTCAAGTGGTTTTTATAATAATTTTTCTTTATGTTTGCTTTCCAGTCTTTTAACTTCTTACTAGAGCACTTCATAACCCAATTCCTAGCATGGCTTGGAAGATCAAACTTTGACTGAAAAGAGAGAAAAAGAGTGAGCGAGCGAGCGAGCGAGCGAGCGAGAGAGAGAGAGAGAGAGAGAGAGAGAGAGAGAGAGACAGAGACAGAGAGACAGAGAGACAGAGAGAAGAATAAAATAATAGAAAATGAATCTTTCCACATAAAAAATTAAAAATAAAAAAATTATAAAGAGTGTTTTTTTAATCATATTACTCATGTTTACTATTTTTCACATGTGATCTTCGCACAATATTGTGTTATTTACCTGTACAAGTGCCCATACGTGATCTTTGTAATGTTCTGGGACTTTATGCCAATTCTTGTAAGTGAATGGTGCATTTTCCCCATCACGCACAATAATTCCAATGAATGATGATAACTTTGTTGCTAATTTGTCATTAGGTTGACCAAGTTTGTTCCAATTGACTGTTAGGTGCTCATTATTACGAGTACTCCAAATATAATGCATTTAAGTGGGACCTCTAGTTTTCTTTTGTCCACTAGCACCATCTAGTTATAATAAATAAATAAATAATAATACTAATAATAATAAATTATATACGAATAAATAATGACATTTTTATAAGGTTTGAACTTGCATACCTGCATTATCATTGGGCTAACTAGAGTTTGGCTGAATCTCAGATGGAATTGACTCACTAAACTCACCAACATTGCCTGAGCAAAACTGAAGATATGGGTCCATAGGCTTTTTGCTTTATAGATGAATCCTAGTATGATTCAAGCAAAATAGACAAATCAAATTGTAAACTTAGAATGATCCAAATAAATTATTTGTAAATGAACAAAATACTTGAAGAAAATTAACAAAAAAAAATTATGTATTCACCTTTATTGCGTTGCTATCTTGATAATGACTAAATGTAACATATAGTTAATAAATATTTTGTAGCCACATATGAAAATCACATAGTTAAATTAAAAACACATTATTCATTCTTCAAACAATCAATTAAATTAACAAAAACAATGATAAAGAAAGAGAGCAAAATGAAACTATAGAATTGTTTTCAAATATAAATAACTAGCAATGTTCAACAAGTTTAACAGTCACATAAGATCTAATTCTTCCTCATCTCCATCATCATCTCCATCATCATCTCCATCATTATGAACATCGTTGTTTCTCAACACTTAAGAAAGTGGCGCATCTACAATTGCAGCAGACATGTTTGTCCTAACCAAATCAAAATTATTGTCTCCATCATCACTTTGTGTATTGCATACAACACTATGCAAGTATGCCTCCACATTGTCCACAGAAGAACCCGCATTCATATCATAAAAATCTCTTGGATTTATCTTGATAGAAACTTGCCAATCTTTGTGTTTGAGGTCTTCTACATACATTACCTGTTCTGTTTGAACACAAAAGGCTTAGCATCTTTCATTAATCGTGCGAAGTTGACTAGGGCGCAATCTTTATCTTGTCTTTTCCCTGATTGTGACACCTATTCACCTTTAAATAACACGACCTTCTTCCCAAACAAATAATCTAACTCAATTATTTCTGTTAACACACCATAAAATATAACATCTCCAGAGACAGGATTTCCATCTCTTTCACTTGCAAAGCTTTGTGTTTTTGTTGCGACAATAATCCCACTATTTTGAGTTTTTCTCTTTCACTCGATATCCTTAGTATGGAACCTAAAACCATTTATCAAGTATCACTTATATTTTGTGAAAATTGTATTTGGACCATGAGCCAAACTTCTAAGCTCTTCAGTTATTTGACTATCCCCTGCATTATGCAATTCCTCAGCCTGTTTTCAGACAATTGACGACATAACTTCTGTAAGTGTGGAATGAAATTGAAGTTAATATAAAGTCAAATTTTAAGGAACTTCAAAACATTGCTTACATGTTTATCAAACCATGTTGGAAATGTTTCACTATGAATGCGATCAATGGCCATTTCACGAAGACGTGGATTTTGTATGGCAAGAAGTCTACGGTGTTGTCTATATGCCATATAAAAGATTTGTGAGTGCATGGAAAAGTATGTATAATAATAATAATAATAATAATAATAATAAAATTGATTACAGATGTGGAGTGTCTTACTCAATAAATTTTTTGACTATTTCACAATTAAATAGCACATATCGATGTGCCTTTTCTTTTGTGCCATCATCCATTGTGTCTATCATGCCCTTACTTAATGGTCGGCCAGGCATTGAGAAAATAGATAATCCTTCTATACCATTACCGCCCTCATCATAATTTCAAGACATCCGGTTGAACTGTGTCTCAACACCTTCCATATACCTTGAGAAAAATGTCAAGCATTCATTTGCAAGGTATCCTTTTGTCATACTACCCTCTGGTCGACTTCTATTTCGCACATATGACTTTAATCTACTCAAGTACCTATGTTTTGGTAAGTTTAAAAAACAAAATTTTGAATGATGTTCAATAATAACAGAAGCAAAATATCATAATGCTGGTAAAGAAATATGTAATTTAATATAATCTTTACTTCTCAATAGAATACATCCAACGATAATGCATAGGTTATGCTAATCTAGCCTCAGACGCTAAGTGAACCACCAAATGCACCATAATATCAAAAAAGTTAGGGGAAAATATTTTTTCAAATTTACAAAGTGTTATTGGAATTTGCCTTTCAAGATGCATAAAGTCTTGTGCCAAACCTACTTTAGAGCATAACTCTCGAAAGAAATTACTCAACTCAATCAAAGGTGAAGTCACATATGAACTCAACATTCCTTGAATTGCTAAAGGGAGTAATTGTTGCATCAAAATATGACAATCATGACTTTTAAGTCCAAAGATTTTACGCTACCTTAAGTCGATGTATCATGAAATATTCGTTGCATAACCATCAGGAACTTTAACAGTCTTTAAAAATTTACAAAAAGCGTCTTTTTCTTGTTTCTATAATGAGAAACAAGAAGGAGGCAAGATGGTTTTTTTTGCTGCATTTTCTTTTGGATGGAGTTCAGGCCTTAAACCTTGAAGTTTCAAGTCAAGACATGCATTTAGATTATCCTTTGTCTCCCCCTCTAAATTCAATAGTATTCCAAGCCCGCTTTTGCATACATTTTCCTCAATGTGCATCACATCAAGATTGTGATGCACTAGATTATCCTTCCAATATGGTAATTCAAAGAATATGCTTCTTTTCTTCCAATTATATGGTAATTATGGATTAGTACTCACCTTTCCGTAAGTGATATTGAAGCCATGTAACATATTCAATACCATAGAACCAGTTAAAGGATTGGGTCTAGTTCTTTTTTCTTTAGTACCATCAAAAGATCGCTCATCATCTCAAAATACATGACGTTTGTCCAAGAATCGACGATGACCCATGTAACAATATTTTCGACCATGCTTTAACCACTGGAAGCATGTGTCTTTGTGGTATGAAGGGCATGCATACTTCCCTTAGTACTCCACCTTGACAAATAAGCATAAGCAGGGAAGTCGCTGATAGTCCACATTAATGCTGCACACAATTGGAAATTTTGTTTAATTGATGCATCATATGTCTCTACTTCATCCACCCATAATTCCTTTAATTCATCTATTAAAGGTTGCAAATACACATCAATATTATTTTCAGGTGCACTACAATCAAGGATAATCAATGATAATAAAAAATTGGTCTGCTTCATACACATCCATGGAGGCAAATTATATGGTATAAGAATTACAGGCCAGGTGCTATACGTGCTGCTCAATGTTCTGAAAGGGTTCACACCATCACATGCCAAACCAAGTCTGACGTTTCTATAATCTGCTGTGAAATCAGGATGTAGGCGGTCAAAAGTCATCCAAGCTGGAGAATCGGCAGGATGTCTCATACAACCATCATTAGTGCGACCTTCTTTATGCCACTTCATAGATAATGCTGTTTTAGATGACATGAATGACCCTTGTAGCCTTGGTATCAAAGAAAAGTAATGTAGAACCTTAGAAGGTGTTTTATAGCTGCCTTTTTTAGAGGATGCCTCGTTGCTTGAATCATTTTGGTTTGTTACATACCTAGATATATGGCAAACATAACATTCATAATCAGTTTTGTGCTCATTCCTATACAACATGCAATCATTGGGACATGCATGAATTTTCTCATAACTAAGTCCTAACTCCATAACTATCTGCTCAACTTTATAAACAGTATTAGGCAGTGTTACACCCTCTGGGAATGCCTCCTTCAATAACTCTAATAACATAGTGAACGAATTATTACTCCATCTGCCTAAATTCTTGATATGAAATAACCGAAGGATAAATGAGAGCTTTGTAAAATTCCTACATTGTGGATAAAGCTCTTTTTGTCTATCATTTATTAACTTGTAGAACTTCTCTGCTTGTGGATTTGGTTTATCTCCCAGATCTTCAGGGTTGTCTCCATCGACTCTGTCATCGTCATTTGAGATTCCAAATGTCTCGTGTACTAAACCATGTGTATCAATATTTAATTGTGGCCTATTCAACATGTGTGTATTAAGACTTGTTGTAGCAATAGATGATGCTTCACCATGTAAAACCCATTTAGTGTAACCCTTTGTGAAGCCATCACATACTAAGTGATCATATGCAACTGATTGAGTGACGGGAAGTGTAAGTCCACACTTGATGCATGGACATATGATCTTATCCTCATAACTTGCATTAGTAAATGCAAAATTGAGAAACATGTCAACTCCTTTCTGGTATGCATCACTTAATCTTGATCGATACATCCATGTCTTATCCATAAGTAAACAATCTCGATTGAACAAGTGTCCAAAGTGTTTCTAGAATATTAAAACATGCATATATCAATAACAAGTATTTGAAAGTTATGATCAACAAAAACAACTAAATTTGATTTTGCAAGAACTATAAGATACAACAATGAATAACATAACATATTCAATATATTGGTGTATGATTATAAGGCAACTCATGTCAAGAGAAAACATGTAAAAGAATTCAACTATTATAAAGTCAATCACTACAACAAAAAGTATTTTTAATAACATTTTTTTATAGCATTTTTTTTTATATTTGCTATCAAATATGATACATCTAGAGTATTTTCTAATAAAATAGTATTAGGTGATAACACTATATTTTTTATAGCATTTATTCTAATTTTAATAGCCTTTTACAATTGTTGTTAAAAATTAAGTGTGTTTATGATTTTAATGACATTTTGTAAATGTTATAAATGAAAACATAATGCTATCTTAAATATTAAATTATAAATTCCAAAATTTTAGCAATAAAGGTATCCCATGATCCCACTTTCAAGTAGTTTCCTAATTTCCCTCTCATTGTGGATAATCCAAAACAATACTACTAGGACTCTTGCTCCATAAAGTTTCATGGTTCAATATTTTTCTTCTTAACGCAAAGGTAATACTGTTTCTCTCCCTCTCTCAATTCTACTAATCAATTATATGTAATAAATATTGATTATAGTTTGGGCAAATTACATATACACCCCTCGAGGTTTGGCTAAATTACAGATACACCCCTGAGGTTTCGGAAATTACATCCCGCCCCCTGAGGTTTGTATTTTTATAACAATTTGCACCCTGAGGTTTATATTTCATAACAAATTACCCCCTAATTTCTTATGCAAATATAGCATTCAGGGGGGAATTCGTAATTTCTCAAACCTCAGGGGGGCATTTGTAATTTAGCCAAACCTCGAGGGGTGTATATGTAATTATTGATTATAGTTTCTATTGGATTTGATATAGAAGCCTCAAAGGCCATTAATTGATCTTAAGTGCAGTAGAGAAAAGAGAAGATTCGGCAAACAAATTGTGAGTAATTGTTTTTTTTTTGGTGTAGTTTTCTTGGAGTGATTCGATGTATGTATGTTGGTTTGCTATAATTTATGAATTAAGTTAATTTTTCTTTCATGTATGTATATATATATATATATATGTGTGTGTGTGTGTGTAATATACAATTTATTTTCTTGTACTAATAATTTCTATTCAACGAACAACTAATGGTAATGAATGTTATAAGAACTGGATTTTGAAAGTGGTGCAATCTAGGAACTGAGACATAAATTTTCACATTTGTGTCAAGAATATAAGTGTTTGGTGGAGATTAAAAGTGTGTATTGTGAGGTCCATGTATAGAATGAATCTAAACCACATATTAATATTTAGTAATTTGTCAATAAAATTTCTAAATTTATAGTATTACTATTTGAAAATTGAAATTCTTGATTTACATGAGTTTCTTTGATTCGAGGCCTTTGCAAGGTGTTAAGATACAACTTTGAAAGGTGCTCCCTATGTATGAGATATTTCAATTCTTGAGTATATCCACGTATATAAAAATTATATCAAATTAACCATGGTAACTATAAAATGTTGTTTTCCTTAAATTCCATTGTCTAATTTTTTTTGGAGCCAAAAATTAGTAATTTATTTGAATAAATCCTTTAGCATGATGTGAATTGTTGTGATCTTGGATCTTATATGATGATTTTGAACTCTTTTTGGATTTAAATTTTTTTTTTTATTTCTTATTTCCAGAAAGTAATAATGAGATAGATGACAAAACCAAATGACTTGTACCAAGTAATATAGTGGCAATGGATTAAATGAAGAACTTTAAAATATTAACATTCTACACATTTTATTTTTTTAATCTTGCATATAAAGAGATACTCTCCATTTCATATTTATGATAGCAATTTTTTTTTTTTTTTGATTTACTTATATAATCAATCTAAAGTTACTAACTTGGATATTTAATTCTTGAATGAAGTCAACTTTATTATTTCATTGGGTATGAAACCAAGATTGAATCACTTGGACTTATGGATTGCTCAGATACACGTACTTTTATTTTTTTAATTTATCTTTTGACCATGAGGATATAATTAATTATTCTTTTGCAGGCTTCTTTATGAAGAAGAAGATCAAATTCGTATGAGAAGCAAGCTTGAAGGCTGAGAAATTCATATGTGAAGGAGTGGGGTATTTGAGTGAATGCGGATTATTTTGACTTTTACATGGACAAATTTAGGACTTAAGCTTTTTATATGCTATATTTTAAGGTTGTGAAATTTATATTTTGGTGCTTCACCCAAATGATGTAATTATTTTGTTCCTTTAATGATGGTTGCTGTTCTTTAAGCAATGGATGATAATATTTTTAATCAATGTTGGAATTAGCTAAGTACATCTAGATCTTGTGAAGTAGAGTTTTGCATAAAAAACTATATGAGATCAGATCATAGTTACAGAACCATATATATATATATATATATGTATATCATGTTTTTTATAGCTTAATCAACATACACCACAACAATCTGACATAAACAAAAATAATTTCCAATTATTCATGAGCTCGTCCAACATTTCAACTGATTAACAACATAACCAATAAAACATAAATATTTTAGAGTTCAGTGACTTCAATCAAAACATAGGGTAGACAGTCTTTCCATTCACATGTATAATAAAAAAAAATAAAAAAACAACTAACACATGGGAATTCGTGTCTCTCTATTTAATGCCATCTAATGCTTGTTCATTCACTTTTTCTCTTTCTAATCTTCTATGACAACAGTGGAATTCGTGCCAGCACTAGTCTGGTACGGCTTCGTAATTTAAAATTTAAAGTTTTGGTTAACATTATAGGTGAAACATATAACCTAGATTAGGGTAGAGGCATCAAACTTTCATATGATATATGATAGTACTTCGTGTCTGAAGGTAGACAGGTCATTACAAGATATGTTTGTTGGATTTAGTTACAAAATTTTCTCAATAGAAACTGACCCTCTTACTGATATCTATTTTTCTCTCTCACTTTATGTTTTTATATGCACCGACACTCTGTTTCTAAGCTTCTAAAGGAGAAATTCTGTCACGACCCGCTCCCTGTATCCAAGGGTTAGATATTGTGATGACCAGTAACCGAGGTTACCTCCGGTCAAATCTTTAAATAATTTAATAAACGCAAGCGGAAGAAATATTTAAATAAGGGTATTAAAATAATCATTGGAGCTTCTATTTTTATTACAAAAGGTATTGACCAAAAAGGCCGATTTTTACATAAAAAAAATACATCAATAAAAGTGCTTTGTGCCTATTCCACACGCTGGTCCCGACATGCTACCTGAAAGTGGTAAAAAAACTATAAGCTCGTGGCAGAGTGAGAAATATTATACTAAGAGTATAAGGCATAAAATTCACCATGGATAATTAGTTAGACCAAAAAGAGTTTGATACATATAACACGAAAATCATTTGATATATACTTCAGATCATATAATATGAAAATCACTATACAACCATAACCACGGTTCATCACTAAGTGCCAAGCACTATACTGGTCAATGGATCCACGACAAACACTGGGCCACAAAGTGGTCAATCACTCAGCCACTGGTTATTTAAGTCCCCCAAGGCATGGGACTCACTAAGCCAATGGTTATTTAAGTCCCCCAAGGCATGAGACTCCCTTGGTAGTACTTACAAAACATATTTTCATATAAGGTCATAACCAAATATTCTTTAAGAGTAAAACAAACACATCCATGGGTTTCCTTTTAAGCGAATAGGGTTCAGAAATAAAACCACGTAACTGAAACCTTTATAAAACATAACTTTTATTAATATACTAATAAAATATAACTTTTATAAAATAGATTTTGGTAAGTTAAAACATATATAAAATACATTTTGAAGACTCAATGTATAATATAACTCACCTTAACTTTAATACCTTACTCTTTCTTTCCACCACCAAAAACTTTTTCAACCTCCATTATTTTTTTCTCTATTTTCTTCCTCTCTTTTTTTCTTTTCTTCTCTTTTCTTTTCTTCTTTCCGTTTCTTTCTCCAGATCATCTCCTTTTATACTAGGCAAATGCTTGCCCAGCAAGCTTAAAGTGCACACGTGGCCAGTCCCCAATTCATCCCACTGATTTGGGTAATAATTTCATAGATTTAATCTTATCTTTAATAGATATTTAAGATAATTACCCTTTGACCTAATATTTTAATATAATTATATAAATAATTTAATTTCTAATTAAATTACACTTTATCATATACCAATATAAAATTAATTATTTATTTTAATACCACACCCATTATTATTATTATTTGTATTATCTATATTATTATTATTTATATTTTGACCCCTAAACTTTTAATAATTATATTATTTTACAAAATTACCCATAATAATATATAATAAATTATATATTTTCTTAACTGAGATTAAATAATATTAGTATAAATTCTACATAATAATTAAAAATCTAGGTTGTTACAAATTCTATGTACATCATTTCTGTAAGCTAACTTGTTGATCTGATTTAATCAAATTCTGTGTCCTGATATTGTTGATCTGATTTTATCAAATTTGTTGGATTTGGCAGTGATCTAACTCCAGGCTTCTCTCAAGTTTGCTCATTTTGTGGGTACATGGATAAGCTTGATATGCAAACTGTGAGTGTGAGAAACTAATATTTGTGGGTTGAGAGTTTTGGGAGGAGAATAAAAATCCAGACCCACTTGTCAATGACCATATTGAGTGTTTTTGAAATATTCTTGTATACTATATCCTCTTTTCTGTGCAGGTACTTTTAGCAGAAGTATTTTGAGTGTTATGAGATTTTATATTGTGGGCCAAGTGTAGTGAGCTTTTATAATGTGTGTCGGTGCTATGTTCTGCATGATACTGTGGCATCATTTCCTGGGTATAGTAGATGTTCATGCTAGCT